GATACTCGTAGACCTCGTTGGTGACGGCAACCTAAACGAATCCATGTAGGAAAACATATAACATTACCTTGAAGAAAAAATTTTTGCTATTAAAAAAATTTCATAGGAAGCTTAGAGCGCTTTCATACTTCGCGATCAGATCGCGTTTCTGTAACGATGATAGAGCAATGAAGAATAACAGCTTAACAGGCGGCTGAATCTACTCAAAACTTCATAGATGTGATAATTACGGTAGGCGGAATATTGGGATGAACGGTAGGCGAATATTGGGATGAAACTAGAATAAGTTTCCAAAACAGCTACACGCAAGTGGACCAAATCCCCTGTCAACAGGTCCTATAAACGATTTACCTTCTTTCTCTTTTTTTTCAGGGATGAGATCGGACATGACGTAGTGTGCACGCTTAGGCAGCGTTCAGACGCGACGGCAGCGCTTCGGTCGCGCGTTCGACGCGATCGATGCAGTCGAAAGCATGCGCATCGATCGTCGAATCGCGCGACCGAAGCGCTGCCGTCGCGAAGTCTGAACGCTGCCTTAGAGCGCACCGCACGAAGTTTTCCAGGATCGGCTCAGCTGAGGTCAACCAAGCCTTCTATCCTCAGGAAACGGTAATTGGTACCAGATTCGTCTGGGAGGATAAAACACTGACTTGTACATCGGCTGGCCCCGCAAGTCATTGTATAGGCCACATCGCATTCAATAAGCCACTACGATTGAATGGAAGTAGAATGCGTGCCGCATCCCACAAAGGGATTGATCAACGGCGAAGACATTATCCTTTCACCCTCACTTTTTCTTGTCGCGATGTTGGCCTTGTTTGTCTTGTCTTTCCTTCCTGGTCTTTCTGGGCCTACATAAACGCAGAGCCTGCCATTGCCGCTCGCTGGCAGTGTTCAACAGGAACGTCAAGGTACTGAATAATTCAGCAGCGAGAGGAGAAGCAAAAGAAATCGTCGGAAGACGCTCTTATCGATTTTGACCATTACTGGAGCACATTGTGAAGAGGGAAAAAGAAAAAGACAATGGTATCGCCATCGACAAACCACAGCGAAAGGGTTTCTGTACTACAGTAACTTCTCGGACTCTATCTTCCGAAAGATGGTGCGGCTGCTTCTAGGGACAGTTTCTAGGCGACTCTGACCGCCTGCGCTCTGGATCTATGCCTTTGTTAGAGGGAGGGACGCAGAGACGCTGTACAGTGCACCTCCCTCCCTATAGGCTGGCTTTAGTTACTTTGTAACAACTTGGGCAACAAAAACCGCTATAAAACAAGTGGGGCGGAGTAAGAGAACCT